TTTTTTAGTTAGTTCCTAACTGGGAGTTCCTACTTCCATTTGGTTCATTCTTCAGCAGCCCATATTGGACACAGCAAACATTCAAAGGTATCAACAGCTTATTTGGAATTGAACAGTAGAAAGTACTAGATAGATCCCTCTATGTAGATAGTATATAGACCATTACTTCACTCCCAGGCTCCGGGTGACTTTTTCTCATGGAAGAGAAAACATCAAGAGACATTGTAGGCTGATGGCTGACCAAGGCTGATATAAATCATCGTCATGATAATAGCCTGGATAGTGTGCAGGGCAATGCCTGGAGACAGCAGAATAGAAGAGAAAGAATTGGAGAAAATCACAGAATACAAAGACCTGCACACCATCAGAACATCATCTGCCTATCTCCAGTCCTTGGGAAGGACTCGATAGGTGGTTAAAAATGCCAAATCCAGTCTAAACATCTGGCTGACTGGGTGACCAACAACATAATATTAATATTGCAATGTCCACCCAAAAAAAGTCTGGATACTACTATTGTAGACATTGCAATACCTGGAGACAGCAGAATTGAAGAGGAAGAACTGGAAAAAATCACAGAATATAAAGACCTGCAAATAGAAGTAGAACGACTGTGGCAAAAGAAAGCAAAGATAGTACCAGTAGTAACAGGCGCCTTGGGTGCAATCCCAAAACATCTGGAGCACCCCTTGGAGACCTTCGGCATTGCCAAAATCACCACCGGTCCATTGCAGAAGGCGGCTTTGCTCGGAACAGCCTCCATCCTGCGATGATACCGTCAACTCCATCAAACAACAACATTTGCCTATTGACTCGATAGGGGGATAAAAATGCCACATCCAGTCTAAACATCTGGATGACTGTACAACCAACCATAATAATAATATATTAAATTTATATGCTGCCTGACTCCCAGTGACTCTGGGTGGTTACAATTGTTAAAAAAAAAAAATTAAAACAAGGAACAATACAGGAAACATAAAAACAGCACAAAACAGAAACAAAGGGGCAGAGGGGGCAGAAAGGAAGGAAGCGGCATCTCCAAAGGCCTGAGCAAAGAGCCAGGTCTTTAAGGCTCTTCAAAATCCCAGTAGGGAGAACTGTTCGAATTTTGGAGGGAACCTCCTTCCAGAGGGCAGATGCTACTACGAAGGAGGTGCACTTCCGGGGTCCTGATTCCAGGGCAGCATTGTTTAATCAATCAGGCAGAAACTAGGGGAGATAGGTGATCCCTCAAGTAACCAGGCCCTATGCCGTGTAGGGTTTTATAGGTAACAACCAGCACCTTGAACTGCACCCGGAAGCAAACTGGCAACCAGTGCAGCTTGAGAAGCAGTGGTGTTCCACTGGCATACCAAGGCACGCCCATCACTGCCCTCACCGCTGCATTCCGGACCAGCTGAAGTTTCCGGGTGGTCTTCAAGGGCAGCCCCACACAGAGTGCATTACAGTAGTCAAGTCGTGAGGTGACCAGGGCATGAGTGGCTGTCTGAAGAGCCCCTGATGTAGGAAAGGGCGCAGCTGGCACACCAGATGAAGCTGGGCAAAAACCTTCCTGGCCACAGCTGCCACCGGCTCACATAGACAGTCTTGGAATCTCCGGCCGATGACTCAGCAACCCCAGTGGGCAGGATGAAGCCCCCCAGCTGCAAACCCAGAGCGATCCAAGCCTGCTCTTGCAACGGCCCTAATGCAGGGCCTTCTGAGATGTTTTCATTACAGCACCTTTTCAAAGGCATGTGGGTACCTGGGTAGCTGTGGAATGACCAGGTGTTTGTTTTCCTTGAAAACTCAGAAATTATTCTTTCCATGCAGTGCTGTCTCCTTACCCACACTCCCATTTGTTATATAGGCAGCATACGACGTGTGATAACTTTGCGGGTCGGGGGGGGGAGACAATGAACAATTTAGCCTATGTATTAACACCACAACTGGTGGAAATGAATCATCCCTTTCAGTATTCAACTGAAGAACACCACAACTGGTGGAAATGAATCATCCCTTTCAGTATTCAACTGAAGAACACCACAACTGGTGGAAATGAATCATCCCTTTCAGTATTCAACTGAAGACAATGAACAATTTAGTCTATGTATTAAATACTGATTTATATGCCTACGGTATATTCAGCTGTTTTAATACCCCATGGTTAACTTTTTTCACAAATCAGAAGCCTTGAAACATTTTAAAAATCAACTAACACTTCATGAACAACGAGAAATCAAGGAATATAAAGAGCTGTGGTTTCTTGGCCTGGGGGCGAAAAAGATTGAAGGCTACATTGATGCAGAGAACAGCAGCTCCTACGATGACGACCATGGTTCCTACAAAAAGGTAAGAGGCTGACGCTGTGATGGTCTTGGCATCCAGTTCATGGCAGAACACCCGCAGGGCAAAATCTCTGGAGCTGGCCTTGGGTAGGAGATGCCCAAGGAGGTCAAGGTCTCTCTGAGTTTCATAAATTTTGGTTGGAAATATATGTCTGGGTGGTCTTTAAGGCTTCCATCAAATATGAAATGAGCCTTACAGCTGAAATCTGGGCCTCCTGAGAAGCTGATCTTAGGTAGGCCCTCCTTGCTTCCTCTTTCTTCCTTTTTCCTTCTTGAGGACTGACCTCAGCCTTATAGGATGTGCTTTATAGGAATCTGAAATCCAGTGTCTTTGGGAAAACTGTTGCTTTGCCCGATCAAGCAATAGGTTCCATGTTTGATGTCATGTAGCTAGCTCAGGATATCATCCTGCAGCTGAACCCATCTTCCTAACAACCTTCAGTTGAATACTGAAAGGGATGATTCATTTCCACCAGTTGTGGTGTTCTATTAAAAGGGTCATATAAGAGATGTTTTTTTTTGAAAATAGAAAAAGAATTCAGCTTCTTCCAGCCCTCAGCTTCAGGTTACTTTATCAATGCTTTAGGGGTTGCTAGATGGCCTAACAAATACTAGGGGTTTATTACAGACATTCATGGGGGTAACTCTGCACCTTTTAGGATCCATCTTCTTTCCTCCACAGGAAGAAAGGTTGGACGTCTCAGGACTATTCTCCTGGGTTGACACCCTCTGGGCCTTGAGCTTGATAGTTACTGCTTCCAGCCCCTGCCTGCCAGAGAAATAACTCTACCTGGTGTCCTCCCACTTAGCCCTGGGGTGGGAGACAGATCCCTCCCCCCCCACCACCAATGCACCCTATTGGCAAGTACAGAGGGAAAAGTGATTAAACAATTAACCTCTCCCAGGCCTGTAGCGTGAGGGGTATGACTGGGGAAATCAGCCCTCTTTCCTCTGGAGATGAGCAGTGAGCAATCAAATGAGCATTAGACATATTTACTTTATTAAATAAATTGAAAAAGAGAATGTAACCATTCATTTAGTTGCCTTAAATTGCCACATGTAAAGCAATCAATGTGGGAGGAATCAAAGATGCAGGGCTGCTAAAATGAAGACAACCTAAAATGTAAGGACAGCATAAAACCCTTAGGGAGGCTTTCCTGCCCCACATCTTGTTCATCCTTCAATATTTTAAAGGGAGAATGAGCTTGGCTTATGAGCAATCGGCCTCCAAGGCCATCACGTGTCCTTCCTGACTGTTGAAGTCAGCCTAACCATCACTGAATAGCAGCCATCTGATCATTTGGCTTTCCACACTTGAGGGTCCTATTAGGCTTGTCTGCAGGAACCCAGAAACAGCTGCTGCAATGACCCTGGAGCACCTGGGTGATGTCTCTTGGGCCAAAGGACCCATGTCCCTGTTTTCTTACATTCCTCTGTGCTGTTCTTTGCCAGCTTGTTTTTCTTCTGTTACTGTTCCCTTCTACCTGTTGCATCTTGATGACTTCTTCTGCGATGTTGGCATAATGGCAAGAACAGGAACCCTCTTCTTAAGGCCCTTCCAGACTCTTACAAAACTGCCTCTTCTACATGATTACAAGCACTCTCACGTGCTGAGCACCAGATTATGGAAATCACGGAAAGGCTGTTAAGAACAGCCTAACACCCTTCCAGCAGTACACAACATTCTTCCAGTATTAACCAGAAGATCCCCTGCTGCTGAAGGAATCATTATTCCGGAACTGGTCCTCTCCTCTCCTTAGACGGCCAGGCAGCTCTCCTTCACAGCTCCCCTGGAGCCCAGAAATCCCTGGCAGCCTGGCCTGGAACATGAACACGAATTCAGGGCAGCCCTTCTCCAGCTCGCTGACATGTTGGCTCAGGAACCTGCAATGGAATTGCAGCAGGCTGGGGATGGCTGACGTAATGGATGTATTTGTTCAAACCTTTTGCTTTTTAGGGTGCAGCTAAGGAGTATTGGTGGTTTTATTGAGTTACTACTGGTGCCAAACGAGCTTCCTAGCTCAGCCTGCTAATAGCAAGCTGGTACCTCGGATCTCCTCAGGACCTCAAAAACCTTTCTAAACGGATGACTCTCCCAAGGAACGCCTTGCACTAGCTACACTGGGAGCCTACCAGAGGCTCTGTCCATCTCCTGATGGTGTTGGCTCCCTGCTCTCACACCTTCTGCTTGCAAGCCAGGGCTGAGGAAGAAGCTTAGAACTAACCTCCATTTACAGAGTCTGCTAATCAAAGTTTACTGGAAAGAAAGTTGGGCTTGACATGGTCTCTGAGTTCATGATAACTTCAGCAGTGCCTCAAGGTAAGAGAGGTGAGGAGTCAGGTGAGACCTACAGAGACTACGTATTTATGTATGAATATACGTTTCTGCTTTGTGCTTACACGTTTTGTGAATGTGGCATGAGAAATAGGAGAACATACGCTATTTCTACTTTCTACACTGTTGTCACTCTGTGTAGGTACTGGGCGATCATATGGCATATAGATATGAAATCCTGGCTATTATTGGGAAAGGATCCTTTGGCCATGTTGTAAAGTGTTTGGACCACAAGACAGGTGAAAGAGTAGCAGTGAAAGTAATAAGGAACAAAAAGAGGTATGATTGTCAGGGGTTGTTTTCTTTACATTTTATTGATAAAATAAAATACTGGAAACTAGTTGAACAGAGGATTGGTTCTTATAACGTGTTTTCATTTAATTATGATTTAATTATGATTTATTATCCTTGGGTGTGTGTGTTAATTTATAGCCAGAAAAGTAGAACAATTTTTTGGCAGAAAACAAACAAACAAACAATTACACAATTTGTTGCTACAGGTTTCTGTCTAAACATACTGATTGTGTGTGTGTGTGTGTGCAGTGTGCATACATGTACATGTGTTTAAATCATGATAAATGCTTTCAGCTTCAGCTTGTGTATAACAGAGGAAAATGTTAGAGGTAATCTTAAGAAGAGAAGGCTGCAGAGCAGAAAGAAAACCCAAATTAAGGAAGCAAGTGGCAACTGGCATTGGGTCAGAAAGGGCAGGTTATGCTCAGATATGCTTTGCATTATGCAGCTGGGTTAAGAGGGGCCACCCGGGGCAGGGCTGCCCAGCAGAGGCCCAGGCCAGAACCACCGTTGACGTACTTCTCCCCTTGCGTTCAGATTCCACAATCAGGCCTTGGTGGAAGTTGGCATCTTAAACACGCTGCGGCAAAAGGACCAGGACAATACATACAACGTCGTCCACATGAAAGAGTATTTTTACTTCCGTAATCATTTCTGCATCTCCTTTGAATTGTTAGGGTAAGGCACTGTTCTGTCATCTCCATTAATCATCACAGAGTGATTAAATGTGAATTTGCTGGATATTATTTTCTCAAACTTGAAACAGTCCTGCAGGGTAGGATTGCATCAGCAGCCTTAAACAGGATGGCTTCACTTTTATTGCTGAATGTAAATGTTGTTGATCAATGACTGAAATAAATGATAATGATGATAAACCGGGCTTGGCCAGAAGTAGGGCGCTGGTGGCTAAGAGCTGAAGTTGTCCTAAGGCTGAAGGGCAGCCTCTGTAATTTCACAGGGACAACTGATCTGCCAAACCCTAACCCTGGCTCATATTTCCCAAAAACTTCTTGTGAACACAAGACCATTTCAGACAGTTCTTAGATTTTAATAAAATGTACTTGAAAATTAAATAAATTAATACATTAAATTAAAATTAAATAAAGTTTCATCCTCCTCCTACCTCCTGTATTTCTGGCCAGGAAGTCTTTTTCGCATGGCTCACTGGAAAAGTTAGGCTTTTCTGGAAATGATACATTGGGTGCTATTTGTACAACTGAAAAAAGTCTGTATGTAATACAGAATTAAATTAAGAAATAGCCTATGTTATACATAACGGTCAGCCCAGAAGTACACTTTCTCAGATCTGCTCACATAATGAAGAACACTCCCTCGTTTAGGACAAAACAAAGCAGAGACAGTGAATTAGCAGAAAAAAAATAAAGGATGGAGGGGAGTAGAAAGAGACAAAAAGAAAAGGGAAGAAATGGAGGAGTGAAAGAGCTGAAAAACTCTTCTATAGACTAAACACAGCATTAACAGGGATGATATTTCAGGTCTGATAAATAGATTGAGAGTTAAGAAAGGATAAGGTTAAAATGTATTGTCGAAGGCTTTCACGGCCGGCATACGATGACTGGTGTGGGTCTTCCGGGCT